CCGCTCCGCTTGTTGTCGGTCTTTTGCTTGTAGCCGCCCCAGTGGGTGCGAGGGCCTCGCTGTGACGTGAGGTGCGCTTTCCGGTGACCAGCGATGCCGAGAGCTTGTTCATGGGCTCGTTAGCCATTTGTGTATCTTCTTTCGGGAAATGTCTATTCAGGTAACTCCTGTTTTCTAACTGGGTTCTTTGTTGGCTTGCCTCGTAGGCCCTGCCCTTGGGTCTTCTCCCTGTCCTTCAGAGCCTGGCAGGTGGGCGCCACCTCCTGTGGTGGGTGCCCTGTGCTGTCATTGGGTCTGTGCCAGGCGTCTCGCTTTATGTTGGGATGTAGCCTCCTTCCTGTTGAAGTATGCGTTAGGGCTTTAAATTAAACCTCTGCAGGAGCCAAGCTCTAATTGTTGTGCAGTTGGGGCTCCACACTCACCCTGGAATCGAAAGGGGGTGCCATAGGTCCTCATGGACAGTGAGTGGGGCAGCTTTCAAATATTTGCCAGTCACCAGAGTATGCGGCCACCATGTCAGCTTTCCAGGGCAGAGCCCAGCCCCTCTGTTTTCTCTGCCTCTCTCGTGGTCTGGACGGTGGCATTTCTTCTGCAGTAGGACGATGAGATGCTTGGTGATGGACACGAGTGGACTTGGGTAACTGAGTCGCTTCTGTATCCGTTTGGCGGGTTGAGACGTGGCTGTGGGAGAGGAGGGCAAGGCTCCTGTGTGCTGGGCAGCGGAGGCCTGCGCGCTGGGAGTGCCTCCTGGCTACCGTGGCTGCACAGACCCTCCCTCCTAAGCAGGCTGTCTGCTGAGGGGCACATGCGCTGCTATTTATGTTGTGTGACTTTCTCGGTGATTGCTTTTAGTTTAGCATTTAAGAATCTAATTTAACTTTGAAAGTGTGTAAAGTGTTGCTCACCCACGCCTGCCGCATGACACTAGCAGGCTTCCTCCCAGAGCCCAGCCTTGGCCTGGATCAGTTCCTACCGCCATGGCTCCATCACAGCAGCCGATGGAATTTTATGTTCCTTTGACACTGGAAGCCAAAGCCATTTGCAGGAGCAGATAGGGGGCCCTTTCCGATGCTCGCGGGCGTTTCTGCTGGAGCTGTGCCCCCCCCCCCCACCACTTCAGCGCTTGGAATAGCAGCTCTGGGAGCCGTGGAACACAAGCTGGCCTCCAAACGAAGTAGCTGAAAATCGAAACTAAGCACTTCTGAGCCTTGAATTTGTGGTTTCTTTTTTTTTAAATATATATTTTATTGATTTTTTTACAGAGAAGAAGGGAGAGGGATAGAGAGTTAGAAACGTCGATGAGAGAGAAACATCAATCAGCTGCCTCCTGCACACCCCCTACTGGGGATGTGCCCGCAACCAAGGTACATGCCCTTCACTGGAATTGAACCTGGGACCCTTCAGTCCGCAGTCCGACGCTCTATCATCCACTGAGCCAAACTGGTCAGGGCGAATTTGTGATTTCTTGTTTTTTTGTTGACTTACTGTCATCTCTCCATCTTCAAATGTGTCCCATGGTTGTATGGGCAACGTTAGGCTGAGACCTCTGGCTGGCGTCCTTTAGAGAAACACACTCACTTCCTCCACCTCCTCCAGACACGCTGCTGAAATCACAGTGAAACATTGATTTTAAAATATGAAGCCAGAGGACAAAGAATGGGAGGGAAGACAATAATAGACAAAGGATTGCAAGTTTGGGAAGGTGGAAAGTGGGCGGAGGCCACGCAGAGCGGAGCCCGCTGGACCACTGGTGCTGCAGAGACCCTCGGGGATGGATGGGAGGCACCTACTGTCTGTTGCCCCCACCGCAGTGAGGTTTGGGCCTAAAGACAGGGATTAGGTGAGAGTCTACACAGGGAAAAAGTGAACTCCCCAAGTTGCCTCTTCATTCCTGCAAACCAGAGATTACCCATCCCCTCTGCCCAGAGGGAACAGAGTTGTCTGCTCTGGAGAAGCGGACCACAAAGACTCCGGACTGAAGTGCCTCAGGCAAAGGGCACCACACGGACCTGAAAGAGGGATTTGTGAAAGGGGGCGGGTCCCAGCCTTACCCCCGCCTGCACCCAGCAAGCTGCGACCCAGCGCGAGGCAGGGCTGGAGGAGGCCCCTCTGGGAAAAGTGAAGTGTCAGAGACAGACCTGCAGCTGCTGCCATCGGACAGCCCCTCAGAGCAGAAGCCAGTGCGACCCTCCATAGCCCAAAGCCTCTGTTCACAAAGCTTCTATCAACTTTTATTGCCATTTTAACTTTTTATTTTGAAATAATTATAGATTCGCAAGAAGTTGCAAAAATGGTACGGAGTGTCCCCAGTGCCCTTCATCCAGTGTCCCCAGTGGGTACGTCTTACATAAGCACAGAGGGTGTCAGGACTGGGGGCATGGCATTGGTGCACGTGTGTGCGCAGAGCTGTCCCAGCACCACAGAGATGCCTTATCCACCTCTTTGAAGTAGGAATGGACAGCCAGGGGTCACGGGACGTATGCAGGAGACTCACAACATGAATGAAGGCTAGAGGCCAGCATCACAGGAAACGTATTGGTGCTGCAGACAGAACAAGCCCTCAAACAAGAGGTGAATGTCCTCAGAGGAATAAGCCAATGTTATGTCAATGAAATAAAACAAGATGCTCTAAAAATCAGAACACGAAAGAATTGTTGGAAAGTAACAATATTGGGGGGTCGGGGTGGATAGTTGACAAAGACCCTGAGGAAACAGAACAAAAATTTCTGACATCTAGGCAATCTATAGCGAGAGAGAGGGGAAATAAAGGACCGAAATCTGTCAAAGAAATCAGAAATCTTTCCAGAATTGGTGATCACAGGGTTCCAGGATGGTGAATGGAAAAAGTTCTAACTGGCGCATGGTATAATTCCAGAACACTGGGAATAAAGCTTCCAGAGAGAGAAAACAGGTCGCATACAAAAAGTTTGGGAATGAGGATGCGTGGAATTTTTCAGCCTCATGGGCAGCCAGCAGGCAGTGGAGTGGATTTCCAGTCTCACAGGGTAGACTGAGCAAATGTAGACCCACTCCTACTGCAGCACTTGGAAATGCTACGTAAACTCAGCACAGATTTTGAATACATGCTGAGCTTGCAGGAAGGAAAGGGGGCAGGGAGAAACTCAGGGAGGGGCTTTAAAGCCAGAGCAGAGCAGGCCTGATGTGACCGCTCTGGGGGTGTTTGTTGGACCCCTGATGAGGCCCTAAAATAATAGAGATTTGGATTTTAACGAACCTGCAAAGTATAGAATTGAAATACAAATCCCCTCAAAGGGCTATTTCCTGATAGAAGGGATTCGACCAACTAAGCCACGCCCGGCCAGGGCAGAAGGGGCTATTTATTTATAAACAACCAAATAAAACCTCTTGAATGAAGGATCTAATCATTGACTTAAAAACCCAGTGGAGCCGAACCAGTTTGGCTCAGCGGATGGAGCGTCAGTCTGTGGACTCAAGGGTCCCAGGTTCGATTCCTGTCAGGGGCATGTACCTTCGTTGCGGGCACGTCCCCAGTGGGGGGGTGTGCAGGAGGCAGCTGATTGATCTCTCTCATCGATGTTTCTAACTATCCCTCTCCCTTCTTCTCTGTAAAAAATCAATACAATATAGTAAAAAAAAAACACCCAGTGGAAATGTTAAACAGCAAAGTAGACACACCTCACGAGAGAATTATGTGAACCAGGAAATAGATCTGAAGAAGTTAAGTAGATGCACAGATGAAGGATG